TTATACTCCTATTTAGGGAATTCTCACTAATCTATTTGAATAAACTTTCAATGGATGTCTATATGTAACATGTCTATAACAAAGGATTGGTTTCTTGCCATGGTGTTTCACTCGCTTCGCTGCTTACTTGTCGTTATGTGGCTTCTTTCACTTGAGATCGGAATAGTTTTCATAATGGCTCCAAATTAACTTAAAATTATTCTAATAATGGCGGGTTTTAATGCAAGATCATCACAAATTTTCAATGTTATTCTTTAAAGATTGACAATACCACTTCATTACTTAAATATCTACCACATTTACCTATATTTTTTGGGGAATTAAGTTGACAAACTAAACAAGATAGACGTATAACTTATGTTATAATTTAGATTCATAAGAAAGTGAGCATAGTAGGGGTCTAGAATAATTTGAATTTGAACAGCATCTTCACCAGCACATTAGGTATCTACCACTTTTTATCTATGTGCCTTTCAAGGGACTTTATTTAAAAGTGGCACAACTTAAGCACTATGCCTACTGCTACGTATTAGAACACAAACTACGTATTTCACAAAAAGCTCATCTCAATTTCTTTTTGAAAGTAACTTACCTTTGAGCCGCTTACTTAATTTTCTTTTGATAAAACTGTCAATTTGGTCCTCACACTTTTATAAAAAAGTCAATTACGTTCTCGTACTTTTAAAAAAATCAATCAAATCCCCGAACTTTGTAAAAATGTTCAATGAAGTCCATTTGCAGGTTACTTGCCATGTCAACAAGTCACCCGCTGACGTGGCGCACAATCAGAAGTCACCAGGTTACTTGCCCAATCAGCGAATTTGCTGATGTGACACACATGTGCAAGTCCGGTCAGCCATTTTATTGATGATGTGGTGTGCATGTGGATCGTCATGTGTGCGCCACGTCAGCGGGTGACCTATTGACATGACAAGTAACCTGCAAATGTACTCAACTGAATGTTTTTACAATGTTCGGGGATTTGATTGATTTTTTGAAGTATGGGGACCTAATTGACATCTTCATGAAAGTACGAGGACCAAATTGACAGTTTTCCCTTTTCATTTTCAATGCATGTTTGAGGTTACTTCCAAACAGGTATCACCTCTTTAGCGTGATCTTCATTTTCCAAATATGTTTTAGGCTACACTCAAATAGCTACTATCGTATTATTTTATCAAAATCACTTTTCGAAATGTAACCAAACACAAATTAGATTACCACAAAAAACTTTTACCAAACTAACTTATGAAAAAAGTACTTTCAATTCACTGATTTTTCAAGAATGTACTTCCAATAAAATGGTTTTTGCGCCACTAAAATCCAAACACGCTCTTGGCAATTAGATCTTACATGTTTAAACCTAAGATTTTTGCAATGTACCTAGTATAGTATCTTTACACCATGCAGGATAAAAAACAAAGAGAAATGTAAACAACACCATGAACCAACATAAAACAAAATGATCGTGCCAACAAGTGCATAGGCAACCACTAAAGGAGATGAAACAAGGTAATCAGCATGTGTCAATGAATGAACACAACTTTCAAATTCCAGTTTCGAGAAAGAACTGTGACTGCAACAATATCTACAGAACATTGCCAATGTTTTAATTAGAATAATTTCCGTTACTCAGAGGTGAAGACAATTGACACTTTTTTATAGCAACATTTATACATTTGAAAGCTTAGTTTAACAGGCGCGAGGTGGCTCGAGGTAGCGTGAGGCGGCAGGAGGCGTTTTCATTGAATCTACTCGAAGCGCGAGGCATGCGCCTCATAGAATTTAATCTTATAGCTTTGATAAAATATACTGGTATTTATAATACTTCAACATGAAGCACTTTCCCCCAAACTGATAACATTTCAAAGAATACTTTTTTTTTAAAAATGAGGAATTTTATTGAAAAAAAGGGTACAGAGCAAGAATACTTCAAACCATTAAACAATCTTAATAATAAACACTTAACTATGAACAAAAATATTTATTCAAACATCAGCAAGAAATATATGTAGTATTAAACTGCTAATACTAATACTAATTCTAAACAATTAATAGTAAATGTTTAAATAAACTTTTACATAAAAATTTATTAATAATAACAGGCTTTCGTATATAAAATGTTACTCCCTCGATACCGAAATATATATTAGTATATTACAATGGAAAATGTTTGGGGTATTAAATATTTCAATACTTTTCCTCAATGTGGAGTGCAAAGATGACGAACATTCAACTTGCTCTGTACGATCACTACCAAATGCTTTGTTAAACATGTAGTCACTTAATGTTTGAGAGATAAATCCATCTCAACATGGTTTGATGGATTATAATCTACACCACACAACTCCCATATAAAAGTCCCTTTAAGAACTCTTTTTATTAGTGAACTTAAAAAATACTACATGCACTCATTGTTATAGCTTTCCAATGTTTGAAACTTTATGGATTTTACTATACAGATTAAACAGTCCTCCTTTCGGGCCATTTGGTTATTATATCCACCCTCCTTGCAAGGACTACAAATGAAGATAACTAAAACATTCTAAATAATATCTTACCTCTTTGCAAGGAAAAACATTACATAATCAAAGATAAGACATGATGTCTCAATGCTTGAGTAGTGTGCTGCAAAGTTGCTCTTCATGATAGGAGTACACATAGTATGTACTCCACCACAACATCTGTACACAAAAAGATGAGGAGTTACAATGTACATCTATCATTAATACCCAACTACATATCACACGACCATATATGTAAAAATAATGCATCATTCTTATTTCCATATTACAAAAAAAGTTGGGACAAATTCAACAAATGAAGTTACATGAATTGGTCTTTCACCCCACCATATAAGTGCCAGGAAATTAATTTTGTTGGGACAAATCCAATGCAAGCGGTCAACTTAAAACCCTCCAGCACAACATAATTTCAATTACAAATCTTATGTTATCTTTTAGTCATTGACATTTGGTTTATCTGTTTTTCAAAAACAATGCTTACTAAATTACAATGTTTCAAACACTTTCCACATACCGTAATTCTACCTTAATACTTTCTATTGCTCTGATATCATTCAATAATTCAGTATTAAAAAATACATCGTATATATAAATAATTGCTACAACCCATTCATCTTATCAATTGCTACTTCCATTCCTTATTTTCAATTTCTTATGAGTTAAACAACATAATCACACTTAGGCACCCTTCTGTGATACTTATTCTCAAAATGATGACATGATTTGTTATAGTTCACGATTCTATTGCATGTAACATACACATTACGTGTTATTTGGAATTATCGAAAAATGAATACAATAATGTACAGTAATAAATTAATAATACACTTCGTATTGTAATAAATTAAAAAAATTAGAAATTGTTCAATAAAGGATCAAAATATACACAAAGTTTAAAAATAGAACTAAGTATGCATTTTTTATTCCCCAAATAAGACTTACTCAGTCTTATTCAAAGAAGAATTCCGTTTAAACCTCTCAAAATAAGAGTGAATGAGTCCTACTTTGAGAATAAAACAATGATAGTACTACTTATGAACATTATCATAGTTTTAGTTCTATTATGGAAATTTTCTCAAAATTGATACAATAAACAAACTGAGATCAAATTGGAAACGAAATTACCCAGCCTCCATATCATTTCCCCTATAAAAAGAACTAGAACTGGATGGTTCAAGAAATGGAACTGGCCTGAAACTGAGCCAATCTACCCTTATATTGTGAAAAATTAAATAAAATCCTTGAATTGGATTGGTTTACCCTTACATCAGGAAAAATATTTTGTAGTTAAACTTTCAAAAGTAATATGAAATCATACAATTTGTACTTCCTAAAGCTTAGGGTTGGTAAATAAAATAAGTCATTTAAAGGGAAAACATATACTGACAATCATTACCAACTCTTGAGACATAAAATTAGAATTAGTCATTATTTGACAAAAGATTAACTACGCCATCTAAAAAGAAAAGGCCAGCTACCATCATTAGGTACACTTAAGACATAAAATTCAAATAAGACAACTTGGGTCGAAATTCAATTGCACCAGCTAAAAAGAGAGACAATCATGTCTACGGCCCCAACCTGATCAAATCAGGTGAAATTATGAGTCTCTCCTAGTGTCACACAATATATGATGAGATTAAGGGCCAGGTTGATTGGGATTGCTTTTTTACTTTATTAATTTATCTGAATGGGTTAGTTTCAAATTACAAAAAACTAATTGTATATAATTAGTTAGACCATGCATTTTATATACTACTTCCATCCCATTTAAGAAAAGTGACACGGTTATTAAGAAAAGTGTGGTTGTGTGGTTGATATTAATTGATAAAGTAAGAATAAAGTAAGAATGATTTAGAGTCACACAAACTTTGCCAAATATGGTATGAAACAATTTAAATAGATAAAATAAGTGGGACGGAGGGAGTACTATTTAGTCTTCACTTTAATTCAATTTTTCTAAATGTAATAATTATTTTAAATCTAAATATGACACATCTTCTTCTGATCTATCTCCTCTTAAATCCCCCAACCAATCACGCTCTAAAAGCATATTAACAAAAAAAAGAATAGTGGATTACCTTTCATTTGGCTAGGAAGAGATCTGATCTAAAAAATAAAAATATTTCAAGACATATGATTCTAAAATAAGAAAATATTAAAAAGTTATCCTTTTATAAATACAAAAACCCTATAACACTTCTCCCACTTCTCCTCTCTCCCCCTTCCCTATATTAATTTGTCAGCCTCTATAAAATTTTCTATTTCTCTGTCCCCTAAGAATGCATATATGGTCTCATCACAGGAGCCTCTTCCTGCTGAATCTTCTTCTACTAGTGGTAGGCCAACGCAAAGATAAAAGTCAATCAGAAATCTGCAATTTTTTTGAAGGAAGTTGGGTTGAAGATGATTCTTACCCTCTTTATGAAGAATGCAAACTTATTGATCCGAGCTTGAATTGCCAGAAGAATGGCAGAAGAGATGAGCTTTACCTCAAGTATAGATGGCAACCTACTAATTGTGATCTTCAAAGGTATGCATACATATAGTTATAAATCCTTGAAATATAACTTGATTAGCATTAAAAGAGTATTTGACCTTCCAAGTACCATAAAATAGGGTCCATTTTTGTGATGTGAGAGCTTCCCACTCAATCACCTTTTTAATCCATTTTTGTGATGAGATGAACTTGTACTAGTAAAACAATGTTACCCAAAGAAGATTTCTATTCTTTTATTTTTATTTTGTAGAAGTAAATATTCTTGGTTGGGGAGGAGAATGCCAAGAGGCTACATAGTTGTGTGTACTCTTTGTGAGTAATTTTATGGAATGACAAATGCCTTTATCAGATTATAATATATTCTTACGGTGAGGTCATTTGTTATAAACGAGCGATCACTATAAACCAAGTCACCCATATGATTCTGTAATGAAGTTATCTCTGCTTACTCCAAAAAAATCGACCATTATGTATATAGTATATACAGGTTTAATACATAATGCGCCAAACAAAAAGCTACCTTAATATAATCGGTACCATAAAGGCACTAGATCCCTCAAGAAGGTGTATTCTTGTCATCATGTTACCCATAAAATTATTCATAACCACAATTAATAATCTTATGTTGGGTATTAAGTTCATCTCATTAGTCATCACTCACGGCTAATCTCAATAGACGTTGGTTGGAGCATCTACTGTCCAATTAGTTGTTTTTTCGTTTTTTTTCTAACGACGTAAAATAGCTCAAATAGATAATGCTATAGGTAATTGTGATCAACCACTTTATCTTTTCGGAGGTCAATATATTTGACTTTAGATATTTTCTATTTTCTAAAATAAAATAAGAACGAATCCTTTATTGTGGGTGAGGACAATAATCGTTGTTTATGCGTTCGTTTATTTTGTTTGTGCGTGATTGAAGCATTGTCTATGTGTTTGTTTATTTGGTACGCGCATAGTCGAAAAATCGTATATATCTTTGATTATATTGTCTATGCACGATTAAACCATTATCTGTGTATTAGTTTATTTTATTTGTGGATAGACAATAAATATTGCCTGTATGTGGGTGTATTTTGTTTGCACAGCTCATAACCACACCTAAGTGATTCGTATGGACTAAATGCTCGATTATGTGAGGTAAAAAGAGTAAGATGTCATGTAAATGTTGCTTTTCCAAATGCAAAAAAAAAGACTTTTTGTCACACAACTATTATATTCCACAAAAAATTATACTACACTTATGTTTGAAATCCAATAACACCAATGACATACCATGCATTTTTGATAACGTATAAGATACATCTCTGAAAATAAAGCAAATCTAAGTACACTTACATTCTAAATACAATTACATTAACTTTACAAACTAAACAATTACAAGTATTAAATACTTAGTTATCAATTTGTCATGTGCTTTGACCTTCTCATTCTTGCATTGGAGCACATTAAACATCCATAAACCTTTTGTTTGTCCGTGTATTGGTTTTGTCACAATTGGAACTCAAAATCCGATGATAATCTGCATCTTCAAATAATACAACCAGATATTCTATCAAAAAAAGAGGTTCAAATATTAAGTACAACTCATAATGGTATTTTTGGTAGACAAAGCTAGCACAAACCAAGATTATAATGAAATTCTTAGATTATAACCACAATAATCAACCACACAAATAGTGAAAATCAATAGTTAAATAACATCTTCACAAACGAAAGTGGTGACTGAACAAGTAAGGATTTCGTCGGTATTATTATTTAGCACGGCAGCAATTATTACAAGCATGAAATTAGTTTACAAGCTATATATTCGAAATTAACATTTAAATATATTAAATTTCTTAACAATACTTTGTAAAATTTAAGGACTCATATCTCAATAACAAACTAAAAATCATAATAATCAAACAAAATAGTCAAAACGTTAAACCACAATCAAACACAAACATATTAACTAAGAAGGAGAAAAACACAAAAAAAATAATGGATATGAACGAAAGAGTTAAAAAGAAATCCAACTTATAAACACCACAGATCTATACTAATATAACAACATAATAAGCAATCAACATTATAGAAACATGTATTGTATACATAAAATGAAAAAAAGGGAACACATATCATCCAAATTGCACAAAAAATCTGGAATGAATTGAAAAAAAAAAGTGGGTCAAATATCGGAAAAGAGATAGAAGAACTAGAGGATGATAAGTTGTGTGTAGAAATATGAATTTAGAGGAGGAGAGTTGAAGTCTGACAGAAGAATGAAAAGAATAAAGAAAGGGAGAAGAAGAGCTTACAACGAGAAAGAAGAAGAAATATCGAGGAACCAGAGGAAGGGGTAGCGTAAAGGGGAGGGAGCACTTGAAGAGAGATGGGAATGGGTCAAAATGTCAAATGAAAGGCAATAAAAACTTAGGGCCTGTTTACTAACAGAGATATTTTCCTGTTTTCTACTTCTGTTTTTCGTTCTCTAATTTTCTGTTTTTATTTTTCAGTTTTTCTATCTCCAATTTTCTGTTTCTATTTTTTAGTTTTCCATTTTCAAATTTGAAAACATGTTCATCAATTTTTTCACTCAGTTCTCCAATTCCACACACTTGACCCCTACCTCTACCCTTACCACGATCTTACACTCTACCCTTACTCCACCACAACCCTTCATACTCACCCATACCTACTCGTAGGGGTCGGGGTAGGGAAGTTATGGGTGGGGGTGGGGTAAGGGGTATGGTCAGGGTGGGGTGGTAAGGTCTAGGGGTAGGGGGTTGGTTGGGGGTAGTGGGTGGGTTAGGGTCGTGGTTAGGGTTAAGGGTGGGGTAATGGGTAGGGTTGGGGTAAGGTAGGGGTAGGGTAGGGAGTTGGGATAAGATGGTGGTAGGGTGGGGTCGGGACCAGGGTGGAGTCGGGGTAGGGAAGGGGTAGGGTGGGGGTAGGATGGCGGTAAGGGTGGGGGGTAGTGGGTAGGGTTTGGGGTTGGGGTAAGGCAGGGGTAGGGAGTTGGTATAGGATGGCGGTAGGGTGGGGTCAGGGTAGGGAAGGGTGGGGTGGGGGTGGGGTGGGGTGGGGGTAGTGTAACACCCCCATTTTTCCCACCAAAATAAAATAACATTTTGAAATGAAAACATCTTTATTATAAAACATATTTAGAGTACAGCGGAAGTCTTTGATGGAAAAACAGGTGTGTCACCGCCACACTCAACCTATACATGATTGAGTGCACAGGCTATCCACCATTAATTCAAGTAGTCATCAGATAAAACTTAAACAAAGTTTATGGATTACAAATTTAAACAACAATAATTAATCAAACGTGTGCAACTAGCGGAACACTCGGGCAGCAAGTACATCAATCTTCATAATCATAATCATCTGTACAATAGAGCAAAGAGAAAAAGAGAAAAGAGACAAAAATTAGCTTTAGAGCTAAGTAAGATTCCACCCGAACCCGTAAAATAATATAATTTGGAAAATAGGTTTTTGTATATGTATATATATTGAAAAGTAGTCTCTCATATTTTCAAAATGGTTTAATGTCATAAAATAATTTCCACAATAGATAAGATCATCCTTCAATTCTTCCAAAAGTAATACTTTAGATTCTTTTAAGAGTGGGCGAAACTCAAGATTCCTCGAGCCCAATGAGTCGTTGTTATCTACGACTCATCCCGGAATTCCGGCTCCCACCGACCACCAATTGGAAGCTGAATTTCTACCTTAAGTGTGCACACCCTCTAAAAGGGATTCCAAGCCCTCCGAGTAGTAAGAAACCCAAGTAGGCAGGATGTTTTCTACCACCTACTCACAAGGGACATTGTCCAAGGGTAAATTAGGTAACTACTACTACGACCACCAAAGGATCTTTGATCCTCAAATAAAAGCCCGGGATGTCTACCGGAGTATGTCATTGCCGGACTGGTTACCGACCCAAATAAATTTCACCAAAAGTAGTAGTAGCCCTAACCACCCACGCCTCGTGTTTCTCTCGAGACGTAAGAATATATATTATGAAAACTTTAAGTTTTCCCCAAATCATTATTGTCACATTTTCTCAAAATATCCTTTGTAATAAATATAAATCCACCAATATTCTTTAATAAAAAGAATATACATTTAATCATTCATAAAAGGTAATAATCCACCAATATTCATATAGTCAAAATATTCGATCCATGTCAAACATATAATTTCCAATTCATAAATAATTCACATAGTGCAAATATTGCATACATATAAGTACGAGGCAAAACATTTTGGTTGACATAGAACTTACCTTAAATTGCGATAATCTCCTTAATAAAATCTCTAGCTTGATCTTCACTTGAATTCTCCTTCTAATATTGATCAAAATTCTAAATCAATAACTATTCTATTATTTCGTTATTTCTTTTATATCCAACCTTTAATTACTTTAACTTCATAATTCCTTCTTTAAATATAAATATTAAATTAATAAATCTTACTAACTGTTTATTTCCAGTTCATTCTTATTTTTTTTCTTTAATTATAATAACCCAACTCGGTTTTTCTTAATTTGTTTGGTTAAATAGTTAACTAGTCCAATTATATTAACTACATAATAATTTCATTATTTCGAATTTAAATAATCAATTTCAGTTCAAAACTTAGTTTACATAATTTATATAATTTATTTAATAACCCTTTTAATAATAACTTGACTTAGGCAATAATTCGAAATAATGATCATTAATGATAATCTAATCTCAATAACAACTTTAATTAGTTCAATAGTTTATTTATACTAACTAACCCAATTAAATTAATTTATCCAATCCTCCATTTTTATTTATTTGACTCACTAATTTAATTGAACTAACTAAATCAAATAAATAAGTTTAATTATATCAATATAGCTAAATACGTTAATCTAATTCAATTAAGTCCAATAATCAAATTCTAATCTCGTTTTAATTTTCTATTTTTTATATAAAGTCCAGAAATGTTATCAAGTCTATAAATTAACTAATTTATCCATTAAACTAATTGATTTAGTTAAACTAGTCCAATGAAGTCAATTAACTAACTTATTAAGTACACATTACTTAATTAATTTGTTTATATTCATCAACTAATTTTTATGAGTTAAAATAGTTTAATAATTTATATGGAGTCCAAATCACTAATAATCAAGGATAATAATTATTAATTTAATCACGCTAATTTAATTAGTCAACTAATTCAATAAATTATTTATTAAGTCCAAATATAGTCATTCATTTATACTAGATAACCCAACTTTATTTATTTTTTTTTTCCTTATTTTATTACAAACATCATTTTTAGTCCAGAACATTATTTTCAATCTTAGTGATTTATTTATTTCACCATTAATATCAAATTGCCTTATTTAATTACTTAACTAGTTTATATGGCTCAATTAAATTAAATAACTTAATCATCACTTTTATAAATTACTAATCATCCATAACTATAGTTTGGGTCTATACTTGACCTAGGTTGTCCAGATATTTATTTTAGAATTATTTCCTTTATTTATTCACTTAATTTCATATATCTATTAACCGGTTTAATTACAATTAAATATGCTAATTATAATTTTTATTAATTATAAATGGTCCCAAATGTCCTAGTTAGTCATATATTTAATCTAGCTTGCTCCCATATTTATTTCATAATTATTTTCGTCATTTAGTTAATTATTTACTAAATGTGTACAACTTGGCCCAATTACAATTAAATCAATTAAAAATAGCTACAAATATTATTTTTCAATTATTCTTGGTCCGAATATGTATTTTTATACCAGGTATTTAATTTATATTTTTCCAGATTTTATTTATTTCATTTACTATTTTATTTTTAATTTTTTATTGAAAACGGGCCGAACCGGCCCAAATTCGCGACCCGGCCCAAGAAGACTGGGTTGTCTCCTTCCCAGCTCTTCTCCAGGTCGCGATTCCGGCGACCGGAATCCCGAAAACTCCGGCGAGCGATAACTTTACTTACAGGTAACGGATTTCGACGATTCCAGTTGCAAAATGATCCTCACGTCGAGGAGAAGCTCCGCCACCCCTATCTACGGCAAAATCGTGTCTTTTCTGAAGACCCGTTTCCACGGCTTGCAACTCCGGCGACCTCTAGGATGCTCCGGTGACTACGAATCGGTCTGGAATTTATTGGGAAGTATTCCTAGACCTCTCACGACCCTCCTCTCTTGCTTATAGGCAATTTCTTACGTAAATATATATATATGTGTATATTTCCGGCGAGTAAGTATATATATTTGCTCTACTCGTTTTCTTCAGTTTTGTAGTGATTTAGAATGTCAATGGAGCTGTATTTATAGCTGTAGATCGAGCCTTATGGAGCTGGACGAGTTGTGTGAATTATTGTGTGAATTACTTTGATAAAATACATACATATTCATAATTCAATGTATACACATTATATGGTAGGTGTGAAGTCATGAAGTTGTTTCCTAGCATGTGAATATGTCCTCCAAATCTTTGTTATGATTTTCTTATCAAAATATGTATTAATATGTGTGTGTTTTTGTTGTAGTATATATATATATATATATATATGCATGTACGTACTATATATATATGTATATATTACTTATATGTAGTTATATATATAGTATATTACTTATATATACTTATAGTTTATTCATTTGTATTGTATTTCTTTTATTTCATTAATGTTTATAAAGTTACTTGTAATTATTTTATTTATTTCCATTTACTCTGACAGATATATTTTATCTGGTTTATTTTTATTTTTATTTTATTTTATTTTTCTGATGCCACATAAGTGTTTAATTCTATTCCATGTAGTGTGCGTATATTTTTATACACCAAGTATAATAAAAATATACTTTGATATTACTTTCATTTGATTTATCAGATATAACTTATCTGATTTGTTTATTTATTTTTATTTCAAATTTCCAAGGTATCACATTCTACCCTCCTTAAAGAATGCTTCGTCCTCGAAGCATAAACTAAGACAAGAATTGAGTATGAAGATGAAGTATTATAGGTTTATAAGATATTACAACCTGCCCCCCTAAAAGAAAGGTTACGTCCTCGTAACCGAATATTTACCTTAATTGAAAATTTCAGGATACCGTTTACGCATATCCTCTTCTGTTTCCCATGTTGCATTCTCGGTCAAATGGTTTGACCAAAGTACTTTTACCATCTTAACTGTCTTCTTTCTTGTCTCTCGGGTCTTAGTATCGAGAATCTCTATGGGTTTTTCTTCGTAGGATAATGTCTCATCCATTTCAATCACCTAATAATATAACGGTTAACTTATATTCTTTCCAATTTACGTTTGGCTCATGTTAAGTCTAGGATTTCTTACCTCCGGATTGATGATATGTGACTCATCTCGAACATACTTCTTTAATTGTGATACGTGAAAGACGTTATGTACCTAGCATATATCGGTATGTTAAGAATGTATTTTAATCGTAGAGAAGTATTTGATTTCAAATCGGTTGTTACCTTATCCAACTCCGTGGGTAGAGCTAATCGATATGCCACTTTTCCCACCTTCTCTAGGATGTCATAGGGTCCGATGAATCTCGGACTTAGTTTCCCTTTCTTCCCGAACCTCATTACGCCTCTTGTAGGAGAGACTTTGAGTAGAACTTTCTCCCCTAGTTCGAATTCAGCTGGTTTTCTCCCAAGATCGGCATATGATTTCTGTCGGTCTTGGGCAGCCTTCATCCTTTCTTGGATGACCTTGATTTTCTCAATAGTATCTTGCAAGTATTGTGGTCCTAGAACCACCTGATCGACCATGTCACCCCAACATAAGGGACTCCTACACTTTTGACCATATAGAGCTTCGTATGGGGCCATTCCGATGCTAGCATGGTAACTGTTATTGTACGAAAACTCTACCAAGTCTAGGTGTTCATCCCATGATCCTTGCAAATCAAGAACACATGCCCTCAACATGTCTTCTAATGTTTGGATTGTTCTTTCGGTCTGTCCGTCCGTGGTTGGATGGAAAGCAGTACTTAACTTCAATTTTGTTCCCATAGCCGTTTGTAATTCTTTCCAAAATTGGGATAAGAATCGTGAATCTCGGTCCGATACGATGTCCTGAGGTACTCCGTGGTGTTTGACCACGTGTTTGACATAGGCTTTAGCCAGTTTCTCCATGCTCCAGGTTTCATTCATAGGAATGAACCTTGCAGTTTTGGTCAATCTATCCACTACCACCCAAATTTTATCTTTCCCGGACTTTGTTAAAGGTAAACCCCCGACAAAGTCCATTGAGATTGAATCCCATTTCCATGTTGGTACTTCCAAGGGTTGCACGAGTCCCTTGGGTTTGCATCTCTCCGCTTTGACTTTTTGGCAGTTCAAACATCGGGATACAAATTCGGCTACTTCTTTCTTCATTCCCGGCCACCAAAAGTTCTTCTTGAGGTCTTTGTATAGTTTGTCTCCCCCGGGATGTACCGAGTAGGGAGTGTTGTGTCCCTCCTCCATGATTTGTTTTTTGATATCTGCACACTTCAGTGGAACACACCATCTTTCCTTGTATCGGATGCTCCCATCTTCATGCATCTTAAATGGTCCGTTGACGCCATCTTTCATTCCTTCCTTGACTCTTTCGAGCTTTACATCTCCCGGTTGTCCGTTCTTGATTTCGTCAAAGATAGATGGTATAACAGTCATAGTACATAACTGTATTTCACCATCTACTTCGCCATATTGCTTTACTTCCAAGCTCAATCTTTGGAAGTCTCGGAATAGTTCTTCTGGTAATATCCATGTTGCTCGGCATGAGTGCTCAGATTTCCGGCTCAAAGCATCCGCCACCACGTTAGCTTTTCCCTCGTGGTATTGGATTTCTAGATCGTAATCATTGATAAGCTCGAGCCATCTTCTTTGCCTCATGTTAAGCTCTTTTTGAGTGAATATGTACTTCAAGCTTTTGTGGTCAGTGTATATCTTACAATGTGCTCCGTATAGGTAATGTCTCCAGATTTTCAAAGCAAACACTACTGCAGCTAACTCCAGGTCATGGGTAGGATAATTGACTTCATGCACCTTTAGTTGTCTTGATGCATAAGCCACCACTTTCCTATTTTGCATTAGCACACACCCCAACCCCTTTTTGGATGCATCACTATAAATATCAAATCCCTCCGTCCCTGACGGTAGTGTCAAGACCGGTGCAGTTGTGAGTCTTTTCTTCAACTCTTGGAATGCTGCTTCACAATCTTCATTCCATTGGAACTTGGTTGTCTTCTTTGTCAGATTGGTTAGCGGTCCTGCTATCTTGGAGAAATCTTTAACAAATCTCCTGTAGTATCCCGCTAGACCCAAGAAACTTCTTACCTCTGTGACCGAGGTAGGTGCACGCCATTCAACCACCGCTTCAATCTTCGATGGATCTACAGATACGCCTTCCTGGGTGATGATGTGACCCAAGAACGCTACCCGATCCTGCCAGAAGTCACACTTTGAGAGTTTGGCATACAACTGGTTCTCTCTCAAAGTTTGTAACGTGAGTCTCAAGTGTTTCTCGTGATCCTCCGGGGTTTTTGAATACACAAGAATATCATCGATGAATACCACCACAAATGTATCAAGATAAGGTCGGAATACACGGTTCATTAAGTCCATGAATACCGCCGGTGCATTTGTTAAACCAAACGGCATCACAGTGAACTCGTAGTGTCCATACCTCGTGCGGAATGCTGTTTTTGGTACATCTTTTTCGGATATTCTCACTTGATGATATCCAGAGCGCAAGTCTATCTTAGAGAATGTGCTAGCCCCCTTCAATTGATCAAACAAGTCGTCAATTCGGGGCAATGGATACTTGTTCTTGATAGTTGCTTGATTCAACTCTCGGTAATCGATGCATAGCCTTAGACTCCCATCTTTCTTTTTGACAAATAAGACCGGAGCGCCCCAAGGTGAGACACTCGGTCTTATGTACCCCTTCTCTAACAACTCCTCTAGTTGTTCCTTCAGCTCCTGCATTTCTTTCGGTGCCATCCGGTAAGGTGCTTTTGAAATTGGCGCGGTTCCGGGCATCAACTCAATTGAGAATTCAACTTCTCTCTCGGGTGGCATCCCTGGAATCTCTTCCGGAAATACATCCGGAAATTCATTGACTACGGCAATTTGGTCAATGTTTGGCTCCCCTGTATTCACCTCTTTCATAAAGCACAGGTATGTTTCATACCCCTTTCGGATATGTCGCCTTAATTGTTGCATAGTCATCAGCCTCATACTAGGCTTGGATGTGATTGCTTTGTAAGATATTCGCTTCCCATTTGGACCCTTCAAGATCACCTTCTGTTCATCACAGAGGATCCTGGCTTTGTATTTCCCCAACCAATCCATGCCCAGTACTATGTCAATATCTTTTAAGTCAAATTGGATTAAATCTCCAGGTAGGTTGGATTCAGATATGAGTATGGGAATGTTGGAGTATACATTTCCACAAGTTACAAATTTATCTGAGGCGGTTCTTACATTCAAGTCTATTCTAGCCGTTGGTTCAATCTTCAATTTCTTAACGAAACTAGAAGATATGAAACTGTGAGAAGCACCAGAATCAAATAGAACATAAGCAGGCTCAGAATTTACAAGGAATGTACCTGAAACCACATCATTAGCATTGGCTTGGGCCTGATTCATCACCATGATTCGCCCTTGGTTCGGACGGTTGCCGTTGTTTCCGCCGTTGCCATTGTTCCCGCCATTGCCATTGCCATGATTATTCTCCCCTCCTCCTCGAGGGTTGCGGTTGTTGTTGGCGGCGGCATTGTTGTTATTCTGTCCTCCATTTGGCCCAGCTTGGTTCATATCTGGCCTTCCTCCATCACGGTATTGCACCTGGTGCACTGGTGCCCCATTGGTCTTTGAGAGACACTCGAAGGTTCGGTGCCCTAGCTTCCCACAATTGAAACATTTTGTCAGGCTTCCATCGCAATTAACACCAGGATGATCTCTCCCGCACCTCTTGCAGTAGAAGTGTCTATCTCTGGGAGCAACTCTTCGATCATTTTGTTGGTTTTGACCGTGGAAATTTCTTCCACCTTGGTCATCTCTCCTCCTCCTCCCTTCTTGTTGCTGTGTAGGTGGGTGCACTCTGACCCTCTTTTCTCCTCGACCTCCATCTTCGTCCCTCTTCATCTTCTGGTTCCTCTCTCTTTGTAGTTGCTGAACTCGATAGTGAACTGCAGCTCTATCATAAGCTTCAGTCAGAGTTTGGCAACCCAAAACAGCGACGATTTTCTGCGTATCATAGTTTAATCCGTAGATAAATTTCTCAACTTTGGTGCTTTCATCAGGCACTATTGTTTTCGCAAATGGCGCGAGGTCCACGAATTTATTGTGATATTCCTGGACACTCATGCCCATCTGTTTCAAATGTATGAATTCATCACGCATGGTGGCCTGAACGTGTGCAGGATAAAAACGTTTCCTCATGGCAATCTTGAAAGCTTCCCAATTGAAGTCAGGTTGTTGACGTAAAGTTGGGCCTGATGAGACCCACCAGTTATCTGCCTCTTGCTGTAAATAGTAAACAGCAATGTCAACCCTTTGCTCTTCCGGACAGCTCACCGCGTCGAAGAGTTTGTCAAAGAGTCGGAGCCAATTCTCGAGGATACGAGGATCTTCTTGCCCATGAAAGCTTGGAGGGTTGCGAGATGCCACTCGTTTTGCGGCATCATTCCCGTTGTTCTGGTTTTGGTTGTTCTGGAGCACAGTAGCACCCAGTGTGTGCATAAATTGTGCCAGTTGCTGAACGCTTTGTGCCAACTCAGCATTGGTGGGCGTGTTATCAGGGTCTCTTCTTGGTGCCATGATATCTTGATGACACAAAGTATTCGTGTAAGAATTTCTATATTTTACTCCTAAGGATCCTAGTTCAACTAAGGATTCCATAGGCTATGTAACAAGAATATATAAAAATGTACATAACAATCATACAGAGGATTCATACTTCACATAAGATCACTTTCGCACATAATGTTTGTACATACCTTAGCCACTTAGGAATTTTGCCTTATGAGGCATTCCATTTAGCATTTGGGGTTCCCATTTCTCATATGGGCCCACAATTAGCATAATTATCACATACATGATACATGTAAGGAAAATAAATACTCACAAGGTCCTCACCACGTTCCTAAAAGGCCATTTCCTAGCTATATTATCTTTCCTAATTTTAAAAATATTTGAAAATCTCCCTTTTGAAGGTACAATTTCAAAGGTTTCCTTCAACGATTTCGAACGACGAAGTTTCAGCACAAGGAGAAATTCCCAGGTAGTTGGACGAGCGCAAAGGCTCAATTAAGAACCAACAGCCTTAGACTCTTATCGTCTTGGTGACAGAATTTCTCCATACAACCTATTACCTCGTGTTCTAATCCCTTTGGAAAACCTAAGGCTCTGATACCAACTTGTAACACCCCCATTTTTCCCACCAAAATAAAATAACATTTTGAAATGAAAACATCTTTATTATAAAACATATTTAGAGTACAGCGGAAGTCTTTGATGGAAAAACAGGTGTGTCACCGCCACACTCAACCTATACATGATTGAGTGCACAGGCTATCCACCATTAATTCAAGTAGTCATCAGATAAAACTTAAACAAAGTTTATGGATTACAAATTTAAACAACAATAATTAATCAAACGTGTGCAACTAGCGGAACACTCGGGCAGCAAGTACATCAATCTTCATAATCATAATCATCTGTACAATAGAGCAAAGAGAAAAAGAGAAAAGAGACAAAAATTAGCTTTAGAGCTAAGTAAGATTCCACCCGAACCCGTAAAATAATATAATTTGGAAAATAGGTTTTTGTATATGTATATATATTGAAAAGTAGTCTCTCATATTTTCAAAATGGTTTAATGTCATAAAATAATTTCCACAATAGATAAGATCATCCTTCAATTCTTCCAAAAGTAATACTTTAGATTCTTTTAAGAGTGGGCGAAACTCAAGATTCCTCGAGCCCAATGAGTCGTTGTTATCTACGACTCATCCCGGAATTCCGGCTCCCACCGACCACCAATTGGAAGCTGAATTTCTACCTTAAGTGTGCACACCCTCTAAAAGGGATTCCAAGCCCTCCGAGTAGTAAGAAACCCAAGTAGGCAGGATGTTTTCTACCACCTACTCACAAGGGACATTGTCCAAGGGTAAATTAGGTAACTACTACTACGACCACCAAAGGATCTTTGATCCTCAAATAAAAGCCCGGGATGTCTACCGGAGTATGTCATTGCCGGACTGGTTACCGACCCAAATAAATTTCACCAAAAGTAGTAGTAGCCCTAACCACCCACGCCTCGTGTTTCTCTCGAGACGTAAGAATATATATTATGAAAACTTTAAGTTTTCCCCAAATCATTATTGTCACATTTTCTCAAAATATCCTTTGTAATAAATATAAATCCACCAATATTCTTTAATAAAAAGAATATACATTTAATCATTCATAAAAGGTAATAATCCACCAATATTCATATAGTCAAAATATTCGATCCATGTCAAACATATAATTTCCAATTCATAAATAATTCACATAGTGCAAATATTGCATACATATAAGTACGAGGCAAAACATTTTGGTTGACATAGAACTTACCTTAAATTGCGATAATCTCCTTAATAAAATCTCTAGCTTGATCTTCACTTGAATTCTCCTTCTAATATTGATCAAAATTCTAAATCAATAACTATTCTATTATTTCGTTATTTCTTTTATATCCAACCTTTAATTACTTTAACTTCATAATTCCTTCTTTAAATATAAATATTAAATTAATAAATCTTACTAACTGTTTATTTCCAGTTCATTCTTATTTTTTTTCTTTAATTATAATAACCCAACTCGGTTTTTCTTAATTTGTTTGGTTAAATAGTTAACTAGTCCAATTATATTAACTACATAATAATTTCATTATTTCGAATTTAAATAATCAATTTCAGTTCAAAACTTAGTTTACATAATTTATATAATTTATTTAATAACCCTTTTAATAATAACTTGACTTAGGCAATAATTCGAAATAATGATCATTAATGATAATCTAATCTCAATAACAACTTTAATTAGTTCAATAGTTTATTTATACTAACTAACCCAATTAAATTAATTTATCCAATCCTCCATTTTTATTTATTTGACTCACTAATTTAATTGAACTAACTAAATCAAATAAATAAGTTTAATTATATCAATATAGCTAAATACGTTAATCTAATTCAATTAAGTCCAATAATCAAATTCTAATCTCGTTTTAATTTTCTATTTTTTATATAAAGTCCAGAAATGTTATCAAGTCTATAAATTAACTAATTTATCCATTAAACTAATTGATTTAGTTAAACTAGTCCAATGAAGTCAATTAACTAACTTATTAAGTACACATTACTTAATTAATTTGTTTATATTCATCAACTAATTTTTATGAGTTAAAATAGTTTAATAATTTATATGGAGTCCAAATCACTAATAATCAAGGATAATAATTATTAATTTAATCACGCTAATTTAATTAGTCAACTAATTCAATAAATTATTTATTAAGTCCAAATATAGTCATTCATTTATACTAGATAACCCAACTTTATTTATTTATTTTTTCCTTATTTTATTACAAACATCATTTTTAGTCCAGAACATTATTTTCAATCTTAGTGATTTATTTATTTCACCATTAATATCAAATTGCCTTATTTAATTACTTAACTAGTTTATATGGCTCAATTAAATTAAATAACTTAATCATCACTTTTATAAATTACTAATCATCCATAACTATAGTTTGGGTCTATACTTGACCTAGGTTGTCCAGATATTTATTTTAGAATTATTTCCTTTATTTATTCACTTAATTTCATATATCTATTAACCGGTTTAATTACAATTAAATATGCTAATTATAATTTTTATTAATTATAAATGGTCCCAAATGTCCTAGTTAGTCATATATTTAATCTAGCTTGCTCCCATATTTATTTCATAATTATTTTCGTCATTTAGTTAATTATTTACTAAATGTGTACAACTTGGCCCAATTACAATTAAATCAATTAAAAATAGCTACAAATATTATTTTTCAATTATTCTTGGTCCGAATATGTATTTTTATACCAGGTATTTAATTTATATTTTTCCAGATTTTATTTATTTCATTTACTATTTTATTTTTAATTTTTTATTGAAAACGGGCCGAACCGGCCCAAATTCGCGACCCGGCCCAAGAAGACTGGGTTGTCTCCTTCCCAGCTCTTCTCCAGGTCGCGATTCCGGCGACCGGAATCCCGAAAACTCCGGCGAGCGATAACTTTACTTACAGGTAACGGATTTCGACGATTCCAGTTGCAAAATGATCCTCACGTCGAGGAGAAGCTCCGCCACCCCTATCTACGGCAAAATCGTGTCTTTTCTGAAGACCCGTTTCCACGGCTTGCAACTCCGGCGACCTCTAGGATGCTCCGGTGACTACGAATCGGTCTGGAATTTATTGGGAAGTATTCCTAGACCTCTCACGACCCTCCTCTCTTGCTTATAGGCAATTTCTTACGTAAATATATATATATGTGTATATTTCCGGCGAGTAAGTATATATATTTGCTCTACTCGTTTTCTTCAGTTTTGTAGTGATTTAGAATGTCAATGGAGCTGTATTTATAGCTGTAGATCGAGCCTTATGGAGCTGGACGAGTTGTGTGAATTATTGTGTGAATTACTTTGATAAAATACATACATATTCATAATTCAATGTATACACATTATATGGTAGGTGTGAAGTCATGAAGTTGTTTCCTAGCATGTGAATATGTCCTCCAAATCTTTGTTATGATTTTCTTATCAAAATATGTATTAATATGTGTGTGTTTTTGTTGTAGTATATATATATATATATATGCATGTACGTACTATATATATATGTATATATTACTTATATGTAGTTATATATATAGTATATTACTTATATATACTTATAGTTTATTCATTTGTATTGTATTTCTTTTATTTCATTAATGTTTATAAAGTTACTTGTAATTATTTTATTTATTTCCATTTACTCTGACAGATATATTTTATCTGGTTTATTTTTATTTTTATTTTATTTTATTTTTCTGATGCCACATAAGTGTTTAATTCTATTCCATGTAGTGTGCGTATATTTTTATACACCAAGTATAATAAAAATATACTTTGATATTACTTTCATTTGATTTATCAGATATAACTTATCTGATTTGTTTATTTATTTTTATTTCAAATTTCCAAGGTATCACAGGTAGTGGGTAGGGTTTGGGGTTGGGGTAGGGTAGGGAGTTGGGATAGGATGGCGGTAGGGTGGGCCCGGGATCCGGGTGGGGCTGAGGTAGGAGGCATGTGGTAAAGGGTACGGTAGGGGTAAGTGGTAATATACGAGGGGTAGGGTGGGTCGGGTGGGGTCAAGGTGGTAGGGGGGTGGCGGTAGGGTAGGGTGGATCGAGGTGGGGTCGAGGTGGTAGGGGGGTGGCGGTAGGGTAGGGTGGATCGGGGTGGGGCCGAGGTCGGGGCATGTGGTGGGGATGGGGTAAGGTCATTATAGGGAAAAATGGGTACGCGGGGTGGGGGTTGGGTGGGTAGGGTAGGGTAGGGGTAAGGGGTAAGGTACGAGGATGGAGGTACCGGAATGGAATCGACATATGAGCGGGACCGGACCCACCACTGGGTGTAAGTATGCAAATTCATTGCAAAGGCACTGTAGCATCTGCGTTTTCCAAATTTGGAAAACTAGTAAAAGTCACTTCTCCAAATCATTAAGGAAAAGAGAGACATGTTTCATTTTTTCCATTTTGGAAAATGATTTGGTAAACGCGTTTTTCTTTTTTCCTCTCTCCAGTTTTCCAGGAATTTCTTTGGTAAACACGTTTCCTGTTTTCTGTTTTCCAGTTTTCCAGTTTTCTGGAAAACTAGAAAATATTTCTGTTAGTAAACAGGCCCTTAGCTTTTTAAAGCGTGTACACGGGCGTGTAAAACGCTGTGTACACGACGCATTTGTGCTACTCGTCCGTATCAACGATTTCTTTTTACAAAAAAATGTACACATGTAAAGTGTGTACACATTACACATTTTACACATGTAGATTTGTACATATTTAAATTCGTACACATTTTGCACTCATTACACGTAATTGTTTGTGTACCCATCACTACAAAAAAACACGGAATTTGAGACAGATATATTGATTTTTCATGCCATATAGCTCGTGCCAAAGTGTTTTTGGCACGAATTTGACATTTTCATACCAAATCATTCTTTATTTTTTTTCAAATCTCTAACAAAATTCGTGCCTATCCGATGTTAAGTGTGTACCCAAAGAATTGTTTTTTTAGCTATGTACGCCAAAAATTGTTCTAGTTTGCACAGAAAATTGAACAATGTCCCTAATTGAGTTCAGTGAAGGCCTAAGCTATTGCCTTTTACATTGTTCTATTTCAGTTCAATAAAATTATAAAATCATATTCTACATTTTACATTGTAATAAGATGGGTTTAGGTTTGATGGGGAAGCCTTTCTGCGAAAGTTTAGAGGGAAAAAGATAATGTTTGTGGGAGACTCACTTGGAAGCAACCAGTGGCAGTCCCTGGCCTGCATTCTTCTCACTGCAGCCCCCAATTCTAACTACACCGTCAGCAGAAAAGTCAACCGTTCCCATCTTTCGTTCTCGGTAAGAAATTAACTTTTACCATGTCGTTTAAAGCAATTGCTTATCCTTTTGAAAATGTAATTTACTTTAGAAATTCAGTGCGACAGAAGAGGTAGCTTAATTGAGCACGGTGATTAATAAACTAACATTTGTGGCTGAAAAGTAATTGGGCACATTTGCTTATCCTTTTGAAAATTAATCCGATTTAGAAATTATATAAAAATAAGAGTAGTAATAGAAGTTACTAGTTAGTAATATTTTAATATAAAGTCATTTTTAAAATGTAAAGGTTGGAGTGCGGTTAAATGTTTTGTGTGTGTATTTTTAGGCAATACGGAGTATATAATAGATGAAAGACAAAAGGTGCAAATAGGCCCATGTACTAACCAAAAAAGGTCAAATAAGCCCTTATTTAGGAGGTTCTGTCCGGCCGTCCTCATTTGGGGTGGTTCCCATTGGAATTTTTTGATGAAATTTTTTTAGCATCTTATTCATCAAGTCTAGTTTACTCATACCAAATTTCAGCTAAAACTTCAATCGGGAAGGCATTCAAATGAATTCTTGAAAATAACTGCGCAGTCTATCTTCAAGAATTCATTTGAATGCCTTCCCGATTGACGTTTTAGCTCAAATTTGGTATGACTAAACTAGACTTGATGAATAAGATGCTCAAAAAAATTTATCAAAATATTCCACCAGGAACCACCCCAAATGACGACGGCCGGACAGAGTCTCCTAAATAAGGGCTTATGTGACCTTTTTTTGTTAGTACATGGGCCTATTTGCACTTTTTCCCTAGATGAAATGAAAAACAGTTTTGAACTCGGAAAGAGCAATTCAGGGAGTCAATCAATCATCAATCATCATTTACCTCAGTGCCGCAAAGGCTCCCACCTACCATGGGGTAAGGGGAGTCGGATGTACGCAGTCTTACTCATGTACTAAAGCACAGAGAGATTGTTTCTGGATGCGCCATAATGAATATCGCGTCCAAAATTCCATGGACTGACTGCTGCTTCATAACAAAGAAAAACAGACAGTTTGGTGAGCCATTTTGCTTTATTACATCATATTCTCAAGCCAAAAAATGATGTATTTTTGGCTCCATTGCAAATGATGGAAAGAGCAACTTAGGGAGTGTTTGCAAAAATTATAAAAAATGGTTTTTTTTGCTCTTTTCTTACAAAGAAATTGAAATAAGTGTTTTCAAATAACAACTTCTGCTTAAATTAAACACTTAAAAGCTAAAAGCTGGGAGGAGGTGGAAATGTGCCTTAAAATGTGTTTCACTTTTTCTATTACACAAAAAGCACTTAATTTACCAAGCGCTACCAATTTTTATTACTTCCTCCGTATTGTAAAGATCACTACAATAGGCTTTGGCACAATATTTAAGGAGGAAATAGTAGGGGTAATGAATAGTGTAAAAAAGTATGAGAGAAGGTGAAAAAGTAGGAAAGAGAAGATACAGAGTAGAAAAAGTAAGGATAGTTGGAGATTTTTAAAGGAAAAAAATTACCAAAAGGGGAAAGTGTAGCAAACTTTTAAATACATCCCAAAAGAAAAAGTGTAGCAAACTTTTAAATACATCCCAAAAGAGAAAGTGTAGCAAACTTTTAAATACATCCCAAAAAAAGCAACACAGTGCTTCTTGCAAGCATTGCTTACATCTTGACATTTCATATTTCGATTGGAGCATCTCACATTAGCTAAATCATACTGATGAAACTTTTTACATAATCAATATGAAAGGACTATGAGATGGATGTTATATTCTTGAAAAATGGATTTCTGGTGGACCTAGTCAACGAGGAAGCAGGCCGAGTTCTTAAGCTAGATTCCCTAAATAAGAGTAAACAGTGGGAAGGAGTTGATTTCTTGATCTTCAATACCTATCATTGGTGGATGCATACTGGACATCTCAAAAGGTAATTGTCATCTTAATCCACTTCCTCTTTTGTTCTTACATAAGTGTCTATTTAACTTAGAGCTGCCATCTTGTTATGTTTTGTTACAGATGGGACTACTTCCAGGTTGGTGAAAAGCTCTACCATGAAATGGATCGTATGGATGCCTATAGAATTGCTTTGACTACTTGGGCTAATTGGGTTGAATCCAACATTGATCCCTCCAGGACTAGAGTGTTCTTTCAAGGAATTACAGCAGTCCATGTTAAGTAAGCTCGCCTCTAACGCTTTTAAGATTTAAGTTCTGTTCTATTATAATGTACTATTAATATATTTTGTTTCATTCTACAACATAAATTTCGGCTTGAGCTTGATAGGAGAAATAGCCCATGACATTTTATATCATTTTTGGTGCTTTACAGTGGTAGTGAATGGGACGAACCGAAAGTGAAAAACTGCAAGGGGCAGAGGAAGCCAATAGAGGGATCAAGTTTTCCAGGTAGGAGATATGCAGGAGAGGCTGTGGTGAAAGAGGTGTTGGGTAACATGACAAACACAGTACATTTGCTAGATATAACATTGATGACTCAGTTGAGGAAAGATGGGCATCCATCCATTTATGCAGGAGTAGGTGTGGACTGTAGCCACTGGTGTGTACCTGGTGTTCCTGATGCTTGGAACCAAATACTTTACTCTCTTTTGATGAAAAAATAGTTTCTTGGCTTTGTCAACAAAAAAGAATCAGTTTCTTAGGGTAGCATCATAGGCCGGGTCACCCACCCGTGCAAAATATAACATCTTTTTTTTAATTTACGAGTCAAATGTTACAAATGAATACAATGGTGAGATTATTTTGGATTATTCAGTAATTTGTAACTGTATCTTATTATAAATAGAAGTGCCAAGTATACATCTTCTATCTGTCTCATAAACTCATTATTATTGGCATATGATCCATTTCACTGCAAGGTTTCGCATCTCAATTAGTCTCATTGGCTTCGAATTGATCAAATTATGTGCCGATGATCCTTTGCTACACTTTCTCGGGATGTGATAATTAAAGTGCATCACTCAAGGGTTTTGTTAGCTATCTGGGAGAAGTCTGCAAAATCAACTGTATATGCTAGTCTAGCTTGCTCCATGGAGTTGAAGCGTTTGTTATCTCACGCTAAGAACGTGAAAATCAGTCCATGTATGAATCTAAAGTCTAAACATGAGTATGAATCCTTGATACTGATAAACCACTTTTGTGAAGTTGTAGTAAATCAATGTTTAACCCTTCCGAATTAACTAACTTATCTCTGAGTGTTGTGTCTTAGATCAGAGCAATGTAAAGAGTTCATTTTATTTTCAGTCGTAGGTCACCATAAATTATTTAAACCTTTCTTAACTCAAATATATTTTATTGATGGACTAAACTACATTTGATATTAAACAAGTTATTTGAATTATGAAAACTGTTAATGATGACACAAAAATATATTAAATTAGTAAATACATAATTTAACATCATAGTTGGGCTACAATTTCATTCAAATTAAGTACTAATAAAATTAAAATGACATGGGAAGATTGCTTTAAATAATTGATCGAAGAAGGGAAAGAATTGAATAATCGGATATGAATATATTTCGTGGTTGTTTTGTACCAGTTGGAGTTGGTAAGGGGGAACCATGGAGATCACGTCTATCGCTCGGAACGAAACATGGCCGGATTTGTGAGATCGGCATTTAGCTTTGTTATTTGGTTTGGGGGTAGTTGGTGGAATGTTTGAGTTCAGTAGTTGACTGGTCAGACGCGGTTCCTGATTTGAGCGTAGCCGCAAAGGCGGGATACACCCCCCAATGAACCGCCGCATCGGAGTGGCCGCATGGCTAGGGTTTGGAAAACGACACTTCAAGGCCCAACTGAGATTCTGGAAAAGTCCTCTCCAAGAAGGAAAGATCAAGCTTCTCGTATTTCTGAGGATCAGAAATAGCTTACCTCTACTAGTTTTGGCTTTTTTTTTTTCAAAATTTTTTGGGTTGGTCAGGATGTTATGTTGGTTGTGTTTTTGTTTTACTTCTGTCAAACTATGGAGTTTGGGTTTGATGATGAAAAATCTTTTTTGATCAACGAGTCATATTGCTTTTTGTAAGGTAATTTTCCCTGAGTCTGATTCGAAGGGTGGCTATTGGGAGGAGACTTTTTATTGTTTGGTTACTTGCTCAAATTATGATTATTTAATATATGTCACCTTCTCTATGATCAAAAAATTTAACGTATCCAATTTCTAGTTTTGATTCATGTGTTCAAAACCATTGGCTTAAATAGTTAAATTAAATTGAAATCCCACAGACAATATAGAAATAATATTTAACAAAAAGATTCAATTTGTCTAGTATCTTCTGATCTACTACTCTATATTCAACTATCTTCTCTTGCCTTGTGACTATCAATTTGGTACTCACCTAACACTCAATGATTATATTTTATCTCATTAATCCCATTATTCCGACCACTTTCCTATGTTTAAAAAACCGACCCGACCCGACGCGGCCGGCGGGTTGACCCGGAACCCGGTGACTTGGACAAAAAACCGGTTCGGTTTTTTCAAAACCCGGAAATGGTCAAAAACCGGAAAAACTCGGCTGACCCGGGAAAACCCGGTCAAGATCCGGACCCAAGAAACACGAAAAACCCGGTAAAACCCAGTTTTTGGGTGTTTTACCAAAAAAAGTAATTTCTTTTTTATTTTTAATGCATTTTTTATACCAATAAAATTGCAATTTCAATACCTTAAAAAGAAAAACTACGTAATATATTTATATATTTATTTAAGAATGAACATCATGCCAAATAATAATATAGATGTACAATAAAAATAAAAATATCATTATATATTTTTATAAGATCAAAATATACATTGAAATATTATAAGAGTGTATTAAAGGCTTAATAAGTAGTATTGTTAGTTGATTATTATGAATAATAACTAATTTTTATTATAATTTCATATATAATTATATGTTTACTATTATTATATAGACGTATAATCATTGACCGGTTTTCCGGCGTTGACCGGGTTGACCCACCGGGTCCGGGTTGACCCGTGACCCAGTCATGTGGCCGGGTCACTCTCTGGTCCAGTTTTTACAACATAGCCACTTTCATGTTCAGGTTGCAAATGGCCCTGTCTGTATACATTATGTATTTTTAGTATTGGTGGTATTGTATTAAACTTTCTTAATCGGATTATTCATTTAAAATCAATTTCTCATGTTCCAAATCAATCTCAAAGTTGTGTGCACATAATAAATGTTGTTTGATCTTAATGAACCTAAAACACAAATGTCCATCTTGATGAGTCGATTGAATGTCATATACTAGTAAGACTCTTATAATTGCACAAGTTTGATTTTTTACAACATGCATGTGTTCATTTTTCAGGAAATCTTCAATAATCTGGTGATCAAACCCATCAGTTTGTGAGAATTGGTTTTACTTTATCTCTTTCGCCTAATTGGGCAATTCATCAACTTGATGTTAAATATGCCCTACAATACGACTTTTTGAAATAGGAGGTTCATATGCATCACTCGAGTAGAAGTGTTCATACACAATTTCTCACTCATGCTTGTCTCCTATGCAGGGCAATTTATGGTGTGAAACAAAGTACCTTTGTTTATCTCGATGATCACTATATTTTAGGGGTTCAGGCCACACATATATTTATTAAAATAATTTTGTTTGCATGTATTGAGAGATGTACACACCCCTTCTAGAATCACTCTCTCTCACACGGTGAACTTCATATTCATTATATTGAGTACATGAATATGGCAGTTGCTTTAGAATATTTGATTACAATGTCTTGATATTACTTATATCGTTCATTTGATTTCTCAATTCATGTGTGCCCTCATATTTCACACTTTTTGGATTTCAAGTATTTACATTACATCTTCCCTTTGATGTCGTGGTGTGATGCTTCAGTCCTCGCCTTATCCTTCCATCACTAGTGCTCACTATGATTCAGTTTGAGCGGGATGTCGAGACAAATGTTCGCTTCCCTACCTAATATGCTATTTTTAGGCAACAATATATGTTGACTTGTAAGGTTGTTAGAATCTCGGTTCAAATCATATAATTAAATGATTTTATGATTCTAAACTAACAAATCAGTTTTTATCACAAGAAATCATACAAAATTGTGGTACAACGGTAAAATATCATTCAGAATTGTAACAAAATTGTAACAAAATCGTAAAGATGCTTTTTTAGTGAAAAAGGATCAAAATTATTGATTTTAGCTATGAGATTTTGATATCAAATTCCACTACTAATTAATAACATATATAATAATTAATGAAAGTAATAGATACTGTTATCATTTAATTATTTTTCATTTTACATATGTTTAATACTTATTACTTACACTATAACAATTGTTTATAAATTGTTAAATTCTTGAGTTATGAAATGGCTTATTATTAATTTATATGTTTGTTTTTTATATTTATATATTTTCTAATTACTAATATAATTACTAATATATGTTATGTAAAATCTTACATTTTACGATTTGATTTTCAAGAACATCCATTGATTCGCGGATTACTTAAACCCTAGCGCGTGGAGGTAAGGTTTTCTGGTCAGAGTTGCTATGTTTTTTGCTCGGTGTTTTTCGATTGGTTGTGCCCTGGACGAGATTTGTTCTGTGTTTTTGACCGTAAACGTTTGGGTTTTGAGCAGTTTTTGTGTCATTAGTTTTGAGCAGTCCGTTGTTTTGTGTGGCCTGTTTTTTCTCAATGGAGAATATAGTTGAAAAATATGGAAAGATGTCGATTGAGGAGGAAAAAAATAGTGGTCTGGTGTTTGAATCTGGAGTGCTAAATGTTAGTAGCATGGTGGGAGAGAACCCATCATTCTCTGTTGTTCCTAGGGTTGTCACGGACAAACCCGTCAGTCCCATCTCCTTTCGGGAGACAATGGCGATGATCTGGCATCTGAGTAAAGTGGTGAACATTGAACATATTGGAGATAGGCAGTTTATGATTTAGTTCTATCATGAAAACGATATTGCACGGGTTTTTCAGGATGGCCCGTGGTCCTATGACCAAAATTTAATTGTTATTAAAAGGGTGGAAGCTAAGGACATATCACTTGAGGTTGAGCTGAATCAAACGGAATTTTGGGTTTAGATCCATAATTTACCCCTAAGCTTTATGACTGAGACAATGACGATTGGTATTGGACGATAGATAGAGAAATTGATACAGATTGATGAAAGAACCCTGAACGGGGAAAGGAAGGAATATGTGCGCATCTGTGCTCTACTAGACATACAGAATGCTCTAAGGAGAAGAACACAGGTTAGGAAGAAGGGGATAGCTGCTTCTGGGCGTATTTCAAATATGAGATGCTTCCAAATCTCTGTTTTATTTGTGGAGTTCTGGGGCACACTAACAGATATTGCCAATCAAACATTAGTGCGTGGCCGTGGGTGGGTGACAAGCCTTATGGTCCTGAATGCGGGCAGATTTGCGTCGGGGAGGAACTTACCCGAGAAATAAGTGGTTAATCCTGCTAGCAGGGCGTGAGCTGAAAAATACCAGAGATGACAATCAAAGACAGAGTCAGCTGATAGGATTCATACGTGGGATGCTATTTGGTTTAGGGGCTGATCTCAATGGGAAAATAAGAAAAAGTGGGAGAGCAAGAGGAGTACAACCATGATAGAGTTCTCAATGAAGGAGAATCCAGGAAACGCAGGGCGGTAGATTTGCAAAATCTGGTGGCAGTTGAAGTTAGTATGGAGGTAGATGGAACCGACCCAGAAAACGGCTCTGCAGCGGAGCTACTGAATCAACATCGCCTAGAATTCTATTATTTAATGCGAGTGGGAAGCTTTCTTTGAAGGTGGCTGGAC